TCTTATTCAAGGAGTGATGTGTTATCTTATTCCAAGATACCCCCATAGATGCCTGAAAGCATGGATTAATGTGTTGTGATTCTGCAACAATGAATCTGATAACTGAAACAGCTATTAAGGTAAGTTGGTGGGTAGCAATCTACAGTGGACAAATGGATGATTTGTGTCCTGGGCAGGATGTAAGGAGATGGTGTAGGAGTTTATCATACTACTCAGGACAGGGAACAATTCAATTCTTATTAACTGTTTATTTCTACAATATTCCATTTAATATTTTCAGACAGAAGTTGTCTACAGGAAAGCAACCAAGGGAAGCAAAACTAGGGATAAGGGGGCAACTGCAAATCAGTGATTGCTTAGGGTTAGGGCAGTAGGTGATCATGACAGGATTAGGCTATTGTAGGTAAATGGTATAGAATTTACTTTGAGGGTGACAAAAATGTTCTCAATTTATTATGATGAGGGTTGTACAACTCTAAAACAAAAAGCATATGACTTATTGAAATTATTATAAGAAAAAACTGGAACGTGTGGTAGGAGAGCTATACTTGTTCAAATTATAGTCATTCAAAATGCAGTGCTGGTGGGACATAATAGGTATAGATGTTGAGCAGCCTAGAAACAACATTGGGGTTAGAGATATGGAATCATAAACATTAACACAGAAGATCTGACAGATCCTAAATTCAGGTAGCCCAACTTACTAAATACAGTAACTTAAGAGAAGGTTTAAGGGCACTCTCAACATTTAATAGCACCGACTTTCAGGGGTTAACACAGAATTAAGGGCTTGACCCTAGTCTTGTCATGCAAGACAACACTGAGACTGGCTGTTCATAATAGCATTATTCATCATAACCAATTTTCAACCAGTTGTCTTTGTTTTATAATAAAATGTTTTAGCTTTGGCTATGTCTTTTAAGTAATCTGGAGAATATTTGGGGATAATAAGTTAAAATTTAAAGTTATATTAATTTAAAATAAAACATTTTTGTACAGCTTACAAAGTATGTGAGCCTGGAATTATTTTACTTCCTCACTGAAGAGAACTGGTTAAGCCATAAAACCTAACTGGCTACATAGGCCATCATAGTTATTCTGTGGAATCTTATCTTATACCTGCCGTATCTCTCCTTGCTCACTCTTAATATTACCTGGTGTAGACAGGAATTCCATACTAAGGGTAATTGCAATTGAAAGTGTGTGTGGCGGGGAGGCACAACAAAAAAATAAAAACAAGTGATTCCACTAACTCTTTTGATGATCATGTACCCTTTGTTTGGCATTAGTATATGTTCAGTTTTTAAACCCAGAAAGAAAGATACTTCACAAATTACAGAAGATGTAGATTTCTGCTTGTTCCTTTTCATAAAAATTACTTTAACTAGAGTATCAACTAACTAATATGGCAGAATTTATGAGATGGTGAGCATATCTTTCACACAGTTGGCCCAAGGTTTCATTTAGTAGTTCTAAGACCTGATCTACAGTTATGAAATTCCAAGCTTGTGTTTGAATTCAGGACTAAATAAAAATGAAATGACTACTAGTATGCATTATTTTAATTTTTTATTAATAAAATAGAAACTTGGACTCTAGACAACTGTTTTGATCTTATATCTTATCTGACCACATAATGGAGTGGCAATAGTTTATAAAAGGACTTGGGTGAGAACAGTCAATATATCAGTTTCAACAAAAATGCAGATTAGGATGTCTAAAGTTCAGTAAATGAAAATTTAAATGGAGCAAATTAAATATTAGAAATCATAGGAGTCTCTCCCTTAAACAAGTGGGACCTCCTTTAATTATCTTCATCATAGCCACTTGCAATCACAAGAAAATTCAGTAAGATCAATCACGTTGTGTAACCCCTAAGGGAAAAAACTGAGGGAACTCATGGGTAATTTTCACAGCTTCATTATAAAGTCCAAGATCTGAAAGAAACATGTAAGCAAACATTAAATTCACCATGAAAAGCTGTAACATTAATCATTATCTAAAAGATTTCTATTTCTCTTTTCTCTCCCTTTTAGAGGTCAACTTATTTTCACAACCCAATTTCTAAAATTCAGACATAAATCATTTTTTGTAGTTCAAAAATAGAAAAGACATGGAAAACAGGAGACAATCCACTTTTTGTCCATTATATAGGCAGTTTCTGCCTGGTCCATTTTAGGCGTTACTGCATTGTTCCATGCCTTCAATTCATATATTAAAATAAATATTATTTTTATCATATTTAAAAAATTTCTCTTCTATAAATATTAGACTTTGCTGAGTTTTCTTTGTATACAAGCAAAGACTAAGAAGCAGGCAAAAATGTCCTCCCATTTTTCTATGGGATTGGAAAACTATAGAAATTGAAAATATGGCAGGTCTGTGACTCAATACCAACACATAATAAGAAGAGAATTGTTTTCCTCCTAATTACATAAAACCATTAAATACTAGAATGCTTTATTTACCAAAAGGATTGTTATCTTCTTTAAACTGGACATAAGATGCACACATGATGGTTGCTTTTGCTGTTACTCTGCCAACTACTTCCACGATTCCAGAAATTTCTTCATCAAGCTAAAACATTGAATGTTAATTTGGTGTTATCTTATTTTCAGTTGATAATTAATTTGGAAAACTGTTATATAGTTTACTTATCTTTCGAATTATACATTTTATTAATCTTTCATTGTAACAAAGTAACTTTAAAATTTGCCAATGTTAAAACTGAAGTGTAGCTTTTTAAAAAATGTTAAGTAGTTAACTGTCAGTATGTTACAAATCCTGTTAACCTTTTAGTTGTAGGTTACTGAAAATGTCCAGAATTTATACAAACAGTAATTTGTTTTAAAAAGACCCAATGAGAGGAACTTCATATAATTTTTATTTCAAAAAGAGTGAAATGTACACACTTACAAACAGCATAATAGATTTATCTTCATAAAAGCCAAGCAAGTGTTTTTAAACACATTAAACATTAAATGCATAAATGAGAACCGAAAATATGTAAAACAAAAATAAAAGTCAGGTTTGGTGGCATCTGCCTATAGTTTCAGCTACTCAGGAGGTTAAGGCAGGAGTATTGCTTGGATCTCCAGCAGTTGGAGATCATCTTGGGCACATAGCAAGACCCTGACTCAGGGAAGGAAGGGGTGTGAGGGGTGGGAGAGAAAGAAAAAAGATTAAAAGAGAAAGATAGAAACTCAAATTACACCAAGAGAAGAGGAATTTAATTTTATAGCTAGGGAAGGTTTTTTTGTTTTTGTTTTTGTTTTGGGGGGGGGGGGGGGGGGGTACCAGGGATTGAACTCAGGTGCACTTGACCACTGAGCCACATTCCCAGCCCTATTTTGTATTTTATTTAGGGACAGGGTCTCATTGAGTTGCTTAGTGCCTTGCTTTTGCTGCGCCTGGCTTTGAACTCCTGATCCTCCTGTCTCAGCCTCCGAAGCACTGGGATTACAGGTGGGCATGGTGGGTCAGCTAGGGAAGTTTTTATAAGCTCCTTCTTATATTCACTCCAAACAATCAGAAACACCAACAAACCAATCCAAGATAAAGAATTAAACATATAGAAGTTAATACTTAAACATACAGGCTCCATCAATTCAATGGTTCCATTTTTTCCTTCTCCATCTGAAAGAATAAACATCTTTCCAGTGGGATGAATCTAAAAATAATAAATATACAATTTTAAAATTTCCACATAAACAAAACTTTTAAATATGTCACTAAAACTACATAATTTTACCAAAGATGAACAGACTGACCCTTACTTAATTATTTGGTTCAAGTTACAATCAAGTGTTATCAGATCTGGCATGGGATGCCTAATTAATTTTGAATTTCAGATAAACAATGAAGTTATTTATTCATTAGAGGCTCCTATTTTCATTTAGAAAATCTGGTAACCCTATGCTAAAATCAAATAAAAGGAGGTAAAAGTGGAATCTTGTGGCAGTCATGATTTAGACTGTACTAAAAACTAAGCATGGAGTAAAAGAACTGATTGCTAGAAAATCTGGATTGTACTCCTAGGTGGCACCTGCTCCTGTCATATAAGAATAACTGATTTCACTCAGTGGATGTGAGGATGAAAAGAATTACAGAAGCCTTTATAAATGGTTTTCCTTCAGTGCTCTGAAGTCACTGACTCCAAGACTTTGCGTCTGTTTCTTGCCTGTAGGATGAGTGAGCTGCACCCTAACCTGGGGTAAGATAATGGGCTACTACGGCATCTGGGAGCGACAATCAAATAAATGTTTTATGGAGAAGCAAATTTAAGCAGAAAACGACGTTCATCAAGGACAATTACAGAAGGAAACGGGAGGATGAGCTTAGTTGGCATCAGTCAAATCTGGCTAAACCCCAAACTGAGAAGGCAGACAGGGAGTCAAGTATATAATTCATATAAATACAGAACTGGGTGAGGGGCGCTGGAATTTGGAACCCAGGGCATTCGAAACCACTTAGTTTCCGCGCCATGCAAGTGGCGCCCAAACAGAGCTGCAATGGCTAAAGTGTGGGGAAAGTTTTCTTGTGCGAAACAAAGCAAAAGGAAGGGGAATGAGGCTGAGGCTGAGGCTTTGGGTTCTCCTTCCGTTACCCTGAGTCCACCACCCAGAAGGTCACGGCTACCCACTGGGAAATCCCAAGACCGCGAGCCCGCGCACCTTTTCCAGCCTTCCTACGAAGCAGACGGGCCTGTCGATGAACTGAGATAGCATGCTGGCGTTGACGCGGGCCTTGGGCAACTCCATTAAGTCAACCATGATTACGCTCGCGGCCGGCGGGAAACTAGCGGACTGAAACTGAACACCCCGCGGGAGTCGGTAGGGATGATTTCCCCGGCACCAATCAGCGAAGGCCGTTGCTCCAGCTCCGCCAATCAAATACGCGGAATCAGCGAACGTCGTCACGCAGTTCCGGACTAGGCTGGGGAAGGGCGTGAGCAGGTTCTGCCTACGGAAGTGGGAATCAGCTGCTTAGTGACGCGCGGCGTTCCGGAAGTTGTCCGGGTCCGGGCGGAGTGGGCAGTGGAGCCGGGTCTAGGAGAGGCGGCGCCCGAGGCTGCTCTCCAGGAGCTCCGGCTTTCTAGCGGCGACACAACCCCGGAAGTGGGGTGGCGGGCTCCGGTGCTGTAGTGGCGGCAGACTGCGGCGCGAGCCTCAGGTACCTCTTCTTGCGGAAGGCACCGCAGCCTTGCTGTTTCTTCTTCTCCCCTCGGACTGAGTCAAAGAGCTAGGAGGGAGTTGGGAGTCCGCTCCGCCGCAGTGTTCACGGTGCTGTGCACTGACTGTGACAGTTAGCCCACCTCCCCTCTTCGCGGTTCTGCGTGGGAGGAGGAGAGATGCTTGCTGAATGAAGTCTGTGTTTCGGGCTTCTTTCTGATGCCCACCTACCTGAAGCTGGAAAGCGGGGTCGTCAGTGTTAATGACTGGCTTTCGCTGCTAGGTAGCAGAGGGTCGGTAACCTCCAGCTGTGTCACTTTACAGCTCAATTCCCCCAGGTCTAAGAAAAAAGGTTGACGAGATTACCTATGGTCATTTCTAGTCCTGACATTACGGAGCTGTCAATTCTCTCACTTGCTCCGCTGAGTTATTAGCAAATAGAAGCATCTGTGGGTGGGCATGGAGAGGGCCGCAGGACAGGACCAGAGGAGACAGGCTTAACTAGCTGATTAAACTAAAACAGGTGTGCCTCTTCGTGAGTTACATTCTCCATCCGCAAAACGAGGGGGTTTGATTGATTTGCAAGGTCCTACCTGACTAACTTTTGACCATATGATTAATGGACTCTCCTAACCCATCTGCAATCTTTCCACCATTGCTCTTTCTCGGTAGCCTTCTGAAAGGGAGATCTGGAGATCTGGAAGATAATCTGTTCCAAAAATATTTGGGGGTTTCTCGAATCTGTTGCTGGTTAATAATGTGGTTTGAAAACGGTGAATATTGATTTTAAGGATTTCATCTGGTGGAGTTGGTATCTGCCTTGCTCCAGAGATTTTAGAATGAGTGCTCAAAAAATACCATCAAATGGTGCTGCAGAAATTGGGGAAAAAAATCTTAATTGGGTATTATAATTTTGTGGAAACTGGGTATGAATTCTCCCAAAGCCACAAAATTGTCATTCAACTTTAGATACCCAGCTGGGGTCTTCAGTTTAGTCCCACAATTGCGTTATGCAAAGGAGATCTGTTTTGAGACTTCATGTGACAATCTGTGATTAAAATCTGATATACCATGTTTAGATGATAGCTTCCCTCCGGGTTCATTTATACCACTTACTGTGTTTGTCTTAATAGTCACTAAAAAGTTCAAAGGATTTCATTAGACAAACGTGGGGTGCATTTTAGTTAGTGATTGTATGAGTGTAACTCATTGAAGTCTATATTTCTGCATAAAGCCTTAAGGTCTTTTGCATTTTAGAATTTCTTTGCAAAGGAATTTATTGTGCAATATACAGAGTACCCATGAATATGTTTCCTAGTTTTTTTATGAGAAGTCTTTAAAATACCAGAAAACAAACAATATATTTATAACAGTTAAAGGACCACTTTTAAGCAAAGACATTTTTTTTTTAAAAGTGAGATGAACAAAAAGGTAATTTAAAACAGCACTTTGGATTTTTTGGAGTCACTTCAAATTTATTATGAAACAGATAATGCTACAGAAGAGTACATATAGCTGATATGGATAGTTTGGAGCCTCTAATTCAGCTTAAGAAATGGAAATTTACTACTTATTTGTTTGAACTCTGCTGTCAAGTTCTCCCTTCCAGCCAATCTTGAACAATACTCTCTTGCAGTCTGTTTTAAACTTCCTAAGATTTCTTTATAGTCATGTCACATAAAAGGCATACTGTTTTATTTTGTCAATTAGACTTTTATATAAATGGAATTATCCATCTCTTCTGATTTGTTTCTTTGGCTTGTTTTTAAGAGTAAACTATGGTGATGAATGTAGATAGATTTCATTCTTTTACCTCTGCTACTTAATTCTATTATTGACATTTTAAAAATATTTTTAAAAAATTTGTTATATATGACAGACTGCGTTACAATTCATATTACCCATATACAGTACAGTTTTTCATATCTCTGGTTGCACACAAGGTAGAGTCACACCATTCTTGTCTTCATACATGTAATGATGTCCATCTCATCCCACCATCTTTCCTACACCCATGACCCCTCTCTTCCTCTCCCTCCCCTTTCCCCTACCTAGAGTTTGTCTATTCCTCCCATGCTCCCTGCCTCCCCCCATTGTGAATCAGCCACTTATATCAGTGAAAACAATAGGCATTTGGTTTTTTTGGGGGGGGATTGGCTTACTTAGCATTATATTCTCCAACTCCATCCATTTACCTGCAAATGCCATGATTTTATTCTCTTTTAATGTTGAATAATATTCCATTGTGTATATATATCACATTTTCTTTATCCATTCATCTACTGAAGGGCATCTAGGTTGATTCCAAAGTTTAGCTATTGTGAATTGTGTTGCTGTAAACACTGATGTGGCTGTGTCCCTGTAGTATTCTGTTTTTAAGTCCTTTGACCAATGAGTGGGATAGCTGGGTCAAATGGTGGTTCCATTCTCAGTTTTCCAAGGAATTGCCATACTGCTTTGCATATTGGCTGCACCATTTTGCAGTCCCACCAGCAATGTTTGAGTGTACCTTTTTCCCCATATCCTTGCCAATAGCTTATTGTTGTCTCTTATTTTTCCAGATTAATTTCAAGGCTGCTTTTTCTATGTATATGAGGAATGTCATTGGGATTTTGATTGGAATTGCATTAAATCTGTATAGTGCTTTTGGTAGTATGGTCGTTTTGACAATATTAATTCTGCCTATCCAAGAACAAGGTAGATCGTTCCATCTTCTAAGGTTTTCTTAATAGCTGCCATTCTGACTGGGGTGAGATGAAAATTTTGCATTTTTCTAATGGCTAGAGATGTTGAACTTTTTTTTATATATATATTTGTTGATTGTATGTCACCTTCCGAGAAGGGTCTGTTCAGTTCGTTAGCCCATTTATTGATTGAATTATTTGTTTTTTTGGTGTTAAGATTTTTGAGTTATTTCTATATCCTAGATATTAGTGCTCTATCTGATATGCATGTAGTAATTTGCTCCCCAAAAGTAGGCTCTCTATTCACCTCACTGATTGTTTCTTTTTGAATCCATCTCATTTATTGATTCTTGATTTTAACTCTTGGGCTATAGCAGTCTTATTGAGCAAGTAGGAGCCTAAGCCTATATGATGGAGATTTGGGCCTACTTTTTCTTCTTATAGACATAGGGTTTCTGATTTAATTCCTAAGTCCTTGATCCACTTTGAGTTGAGTTTTGTGCATGGAGAGAGATAGGGGTTTAATTTTATTTTGTTGCATATGAATTTCCAGTTTTCCCAACACCATTTGTTGAAGAGGCTCTTTTCTCCAATGTATGTTTTTGGTGCCTTTGTCTAATATAAGATAACTGTCATTATGTGGGTTAGTCTCTGTGTCCTTTATTCTGTACCATTGGTCTGCCCGTCTATTTTGGTGCCAATACCATGGTGTTTTTGTTACTATTGCTCTGCAGTATAGTTTAAGGTCAGGTATAGTGATGCCACCTGCTTCACTCTTCTTGCTAAGGATTGCTTTAGCTCTTCTGGGTCTCTTATTTTTCCAGATGAATTTCATGACTGCTTTTTCTATTTCTACGAGGAATGTAATTGGGATTTTGATTGGAATTACATTAAATCTGTATAGTGTTTTTGGTAGTATGATCATTTTGACAATATTGATTCTGCCTATCCAAGAACAAGTAGATCTTCCATCTTCTAAGGTCTTCTTTAATTAGCTATTGTGAATTGTGTTGCTGTAAACACTGTAGCATTCTGTAGTTTTTGTTGTAGAGGACTTTCATCTCTTTTGTTTAGTTGATTCCCAAGTATTTTCATTTTTTTGAGGCTAGGGGTTAGTTTTCCTCATTTCCCTTTCAGAGGATTTGTTACTGATATACAGGAATGCCTTTGATTTATGGGTGTTGATTTTATATTCCACTATTTTGCTGAATTCATGTATTCTAGATGTTTTCAGGTGGATTTTTTTTAGGGGTCATCTAAGTATAGAATCATATCATTACCAAGTAGTGCTAATTAGAGTTCTTCTTTTCCTATCCATATCCCTTTAATTTTCTTTCATCTAATTGCTCTAGCCAGTGTTTCAAGAACTATGTTAAATAGAAGTGGTGAAAGAGGGCATCTTTGTTTTGTTCAAGTTTTTAGAGAGAATGCTTTCAGTTTTTCCCATTTAGAATTATATTGACCTGGGGCTTAGTGTAGATAGCTTTTACAATGTTGAGATATGTTCCTGTTATCCCTCGTTTTTCAAGTGTTTTGAACATGAAGGGGTGCTGTGTTTTGACAAATGCTTTTTTTTTTTTTGCATTATTGAGATGATCATATTGTTATTATCTTTAAGTCTATTGATGTGATGAATTACATTTATTGGTTTCCATATGTTGAACCAACCTTGCATCCCTGGAATGAACCATACTTGATCATGGTGCACTATCTTTTTGATATGTTATTGTATTCAATTTGCCAGAATTATATTAAGAATTTTTGCATATATGTTCATTAGAGATATTGGTCCAAAGTTTTCTTTCATTGATTTGTCTTTGCCTGGTTTTGGAATCAGGATGATATTGGCCTCATAGAATGAGTTTGGAAGTGTTCCCTCTTTTCTATTTCATGAAATAATTTGAAGAGTATTGGTATTAGTTCTTCTTTAAAGGTCTTGAAGAACTAAGCTGTGTATCCCTCTGGTCCTGGGCTTTTCTTGGTTGGTAGGCTTCTGATGGCATCTTCTATTTCATTTTTTGAAATTGATCTATTTTGATATTTTTTATGATTAATTTTGCTTGAAGTCTATTTTATTTGATATGAGGATGGAAACCCCTGCTTGCTGTCATAGTCCATGTAAGTGGTATGATTTTTCCTAACATTTCATCTTCAGTCTGTGAATGTCTTTTCCTATCTTATGAGTCTCTTGGAGGCAGCATATTGTTGGGTCTTTTTTAAAAATGCAATCTGCCAGTCTATGTCTTTTGTTTGGTGAGTTTAGGCCATTAATATTCAGGGTTATTATTGAGACATAATTTCTATTTCTAGCTATATT